ATTTGTCTTCTACTAAACCAGACATTAAGGAGATTTGCAAAAAAAATAAGAGAAAGAGAGAGAGAAAACAATGCCACTCTTCTAATTTTTGTTTAGAAAATATTTATTTTTCATTAAAATGGTATTTGTGTGTTAACATGTGATACACTGAAAATGTCTCTGTTTTAATTTCTAATACAGTAAAATTAATAGATAAAACTTAGATACAAAGGCTCTTTGTTATCTTCAAATTTTAAGGCCATAAAGGGATTTTAAATACAGTAAGTTTGAGAACAGCTGATTTATATTTAATACTCAACTCATGAGGTAACAGTTGTATTTTATCTTTTCCATAACATAAATAAGAAAACAGATACAGAAGCAATTTGCCCAAAATCACACCAGTGACTTCTTAAACCAGCATTTGAATATAAATCTGTAATTGCTAAGCCTAACTTCTCATCTCTAAGCAACAATATCTACCCAAGATGGTTCAAGATCATTTTTAGATAGCTACATGCTAATCCCTGTTTAAAAAACATTATATTATATTGGTTCTCTATTCTTTGTCTTTCTGTCTTAAAAGATTACGTGAACTCACTGCAATAGCTTTAAATATACATACGGTGCCAAAAACAACATATACACATTTTACAAAAGGAGGAAACTATTAAATTTGTGATACACCGAGTCATATTTTACTTCTGCAATTACAAGAAGTGTTCAATGCGGCTTGTATTCATCTTTTGTTAATGGCATATCAATATATACTGATTCTACACTGTATTATGTATTACATATTATGATCCTAATATAGCTTTTTCCTTTCTTAAAATGTGTGTACCTTTTTTTGGCACCCTCTGTATAACATACATATGTTTATATTACATGTAAACCTTTTTTTAAAAAAAATCAAACACTCTAAAAATCACCTCCCACCACCCTCAATACAACAAGTAGCCACAAACAAAACTATTTGTAAGAGTTTGGTGCCCACTAATCCAAAATTTATTTATTTACACACATATGCAAACACATACAAACTTTTTATCTGTATAAGCACTTTTAAATGAGATCACACAGGTTTATTAGCAACTTGCCTTATTTCACTTAGTATTTCTTGAAGATACTCCTGCCTATACAAATAGATTTACCTCACTGTATAGATTATTACCATTTAACTGTATCCAATTAAGGTCCCCTGTAGGCTTGCTTCCAAATTTTTGCTATTGTAAGAACAGTTATAAGAAATATGCTGTATCTTTGTGTACTTGTAAAATCACATGTCAGAAAATTCCTAGAAGTATATTTACTGGGCTAAAGGGAGTGAACACTAAAAAGTCTTAATAAATTTTGCCAAAGACCTTCTAAAAATGCCCATGCCTAACTTATATTCTCACCTATAGCAAACAGGATTTCCTCCAACAATTCAGCTTTTAAGTGCCTTGGAATATCACTTAAAATATCACTTTATGTTGCCTCAAAATGCCAAGTAGTGAAACTGACCTCACTGGTCATCTTGATTCCATACAGAACCCTATACAAATAGCACTCCCTGAATGTATCAGAATAGTCTCACTCATCTTCATTTTTTCTTTACACCTTTTAAATGCCTTCAAAAAGAAGATACACCAGGCACATACAACATCGTCAACTAGTAAACCCTCAAAGTATTAAATGCCTTGATAGAGTTATCAAAAATATTTTCAGGGGACCATTTAACACAAATCAGAACTATGCAGAAAAACTGGGACCAAACAGTTGGTAAAGGCAATTTATTAAGCTTTATCTGCTCACTCAAAGGACAAAGGCTACAAATAAAAAGTTATCAAATGCTACCAGTGGCCAAATTAGCCTACATAAAATAATAGGCAACAGATTTCATATCATAAATGTCAGTGAAACAGATTGCAATAGTAAGGATGGCTGTAATTGCAAAGAAAGTTCACTCAAATTCGAATTATACTGAAAATGAAAACATTAATATTTTAAATGAAATGTTTTGAATGTGACTATTCATTTCAGTCATATCAGACTAACATAAATCTTCAGTACTAATAAATACAGTCTGGTCCTTTTGTGCAAGTAGATAGTTTTAAAATGTACCATATTCTGACCTGCCTATTCTGTTAACAGCTAATGGATATTCCAGGCCTCACTATTTCATCACGATCTCTTTTCTAGGATTTTGTGCCAGTAGTTTTAAATTGAACATTTCTCATACATCTTTATGACAGAGTAAAACTTCATTAATTCAAATCAAATGAGCTCAATTCTGAAATGGTATATGTAATTCTCATTAGGCAACAAGTTAAAAATACTATAATTTTATTCTTCTGCAAGTTCTCAGAATTTTACTATGAAGTAAAGGAAATCAACCTGAAAATCAATTCACTTTTCCAAACTAAAGATTTATGAAACTAAGGACTCATCCATCTTTGTGGCTGGGCTAAAGGGAGTGCCTCCGTCCTAAGGTACATCTCTGTTTCTCAGCTACTCTATATAGTGAAAGTGATTTAACATGTCCCTATTAATAGCCATTTACAGCTTAATTTAGAGAATGGGCACTTCTTTTAAATATCCTATAACTCAGATTTTTCACAAATTCATTTTTTTCCAGTGGGCAATAGTTTACTCTGTCACTTAATAGATTTATAATATAGCCAACATAGCACCTTATAAAGTAAGAAAATAGACTTTAAAATGCTTGACATTCTTATTCTCTATTTATTCTTATCATTTTGAAGGACTTTACAAGCCAAAAAATAAGTCCGAGGATTCAGTGGCATATTGGTTATTGCTTGAACTTACAACTAACTGTTCCCAATGAATAGAGAACCCTTCCCTTGCAATCTGAATCATATGTAATTACAGTATGACAAGGTCTCTCCTGGGCGATGTACACTGGCATTTTTCCCAGGACTTGTCACATCATGGGAAGCACACATACAAATAAAAATCCCAAAATAAACATTTTAAAACAATGGCTTATATAGACTACTTAAAGAAATTACACAGTTGAGTATAAAAATTAAAAAGTCCAACCAACAAGCAGACACCTCTCAGAAATATCTGAAAAGGATATCAAGCAGCTTACCACACCTAGCAACAACTCCCAGGTGTGGTCTACCTGAGGAGCACCTTTGCATTTCCTCAGGCTGGACAGAAAAATAAGTAAGTATAGGAAATAAAGGGAAACATCCCCACTCAGACGCAATGCAGCAGAGAAACAGTGGTAAAATGGAGAGGTTGATCAACTTTAATTTCATAAAGCAAATTTGTCAACTGTCAAGGTACCTAAACAAAGTTATCTGAAGAGGTACGTCCTCTGCCAACTGATTTAATGCTCCTAATACAATAAATATTGCTTTTTAAAAATGTATTTCACTTTGAAGTGAACAGTAGTCAAGTAGTCCTAACAGTGTGTACCAAGAATCTTAGAAGGTGGTTTCTTTTGTTTAAACTCGCAGCTCTACAGACACAAGGAAAGAGGGAGACAGATTCCAACAAGCATCACGCCCCGACCTCAGATAGTGACAGAAACTTGACAGCACTCATTATCAGGAAACAGGAAATAGAACATCTTTGACTACATTTTAACATAAAATGCTAATAAATTCTAAATATTACTTCCTTACAGGCCATGTATATTCCTAGCCCTCTATTAGAAACTGATTCATTTATTAACCACCCAACAAAGCCCATCAAATTCAACTGTTCAAGTTTTCAAGAGGAGCTACAAACCAAAGCACTAAAGGCAAAAAATATAATCCTACTTCCCATATTATGAGCTTTGGAAACAAAAGTAAGTGCCATCACAAACCTCTACCACCTCTAAGGCACACAGCATTTCTCCTCTCCTTATTCGGCCCCTTGGATGTTCAATAATTTCCACATAACTCTAAGTAGAATGGATTTATTATGATGTTACTCTAAGAAACTGCAGGAGTTCTAGATGCCAATAAAGATTACGGATCAAATGGAAGATAACTACTAACCATTGTGTCGACTTAGATAAATAAACCTGCTCACAAACAAAGCACCTTATTGTACTTGTACTGTTACTTCCACTAATCCAACTAAAACAACCAGACAGTAGCTTTCCAGAGACTGAAGGGAACAGAAACTGGAATTTCTCAAACTCCCTTTTAATTTCTTTTAAAATGACACCTTGTTTCTTTTATCCAAAACTGTCCTGCCCTTTATGGAAAACGTTGGAGACCGCAGACGCTCAGCAGGATTATGCAAACTAGATTCCAAGGCTAAGAACCAAGGTGGGGAAAGACTGAAGCAAAAGGCAACGTAAAACATCGTTCCTCTGAAACTTAGCTTCAACCTTTGTAGGAGCCCTCTCTCCTGCAGATCACATCCGGCAGACACTTGGCTACGTTGCTCAAAATCAAAGGAGTAATCAAGTGCCACAGGAGCGACTGAGAAAGGAACCGTAAGCCCCCCAAATAAACATAAAATCCAGAGTGGAGTGGGGTGTGGCAGTTGGCTAACCTACAAAATGAAAAGTCCACGAAGGGCCCCTGGCACCAGGGTCTTATGCACTGAGGTGAAAGCAGAGGACACCTTAAAAACAAATATACTTTTCAAGGCAGAACAATAAGTACATCCTACAACACAGGTAAATCTGAATCTCCCTAAGAAAAAAAAGCGCAAAGTGTTTATTCCCTCCAGCCCCACTCCCCGCACGTCCAAACCCAACAACTAATTGCACCCTCCCCACAGAACCCGTAGCCAGCCCCAGAGGACCAGAGAGGGCTGCCTTGGGATGAATAAACACTCGACACCTGACGGTCCTTTCTCTGCGGCGACTTTCACGAACCGAAGTCGCGCGCGCGGGCGGCAGCTGGGACCTGGCCGGCGCGGCGCCGCGCACCCGGATCCCGAGGCTGCGCCGGCGAGCGCGGCGCGGGGGGCGGGGAGCGGGCCAGGGGGACCGCCCCGGCCGAGCGATTGTTTCCTCGCTCGGCAAAGACATTTTTTATCAAGCCCCTTTTGTATTCGAGCCCTACCTCTTTTTGGCCTAGGGAAGCTTTCGTGCAAGTGGAAGACGACTTTCTCCACAAAGTGCTGTATGTTACTGTGCTCCGGACCGCGCACGAACACCATCCAGTCGTGGGTGAAGCCCTCCACGGTCGGTTTTTTCCTCACCTGGGCGCGGTGCCCCAGCTCCAGCTTCACCTGTACGGCACACTGAGGGCAGGGGGAGGAGAGACGACCGTGAACAACAGGAAGGCGACGGTTCGGCACTGATCATTGCGCCTGACATTTTTTTTCCCTCCTTGAAACGCACATAAAAGGAAACCGCGGTGCCCTGTGCATCCACGTTTCACGCGCGTGGGCGCTCACACCCCGCACCCCCGAATGCACCCGCCCGGCCGGCCGGGCCCTGGGCGCCCCGGGCCCCGCATCCACACCGGACGGGATTGTAACGGAATGTTACCCCCAGTCGGGAAGGGGGTCGGGGGAAAGAGGTAGAGCACACTCGGCCACGACAAGCAGGACAACAAATGCATTAGAAACAAATTAGAAGACAATTAGGATGCGATGCCGGGGTGGTTTCTCGGCGTGGGAGGAGAGGTGGCTGGGACCCCGGGGAACGGAAGGATTTCTGGCAAGCCCCCTCCCCGAAAGTACCGCGGCGACAGGCACACGCCGAGGAAGTCTTTGTGTACGTGTGTGTGTGCGTGCGTGTGCAGCGCTGTGCCAGGCGGAATGGAAACTACAGGCTGCTTCTGCTGATGGGCACAAACTCCCGTGCTCTTACCACGGGGTTCGTGCTCAACAAAAATGAGACGTCGTCACACACACAAACACGCCCGCAGGAAAACACGACAAGGCATCCATAACTTAAAGCACCCTGCATTCCCCCCCCCCCGGGAAAAGCCCCACGCGATCTGCGAGGCCAGCCGAACAGAGCCCCCGCAACACACTTCCAAGAGCCAAAGTGGCCCCAAAGTACCTCCCACCTCCCCCCCCAGAAATGAAATTCAGAACGGCAGGGCGGCGGG